GAGGAGCCACAGGTGCGTTGCCGGCCTTTTAAAATGGAATACGCTCTTTTCTTGAAGGTTTGAAGGTCGTATCGGTTCGGAAATACCGCCGACGGCAGATCATTCCACAGTTTAGCTGTGCGAGGCAGAGAGCTGCTATTTCCATAAAGGATCAATGAAAGACAATAAGTAAGAATCAAAGCAGTTGCCGCTCTGTATGTTTTGGCTACCTACACGGCAAAGGCGTAAGTTTATAGGTACATATTTGTATGATCAATGACTAACCATTATCTTCGTTGCAAGCAAGCATGCTTATTGGTCGAACAGTAGCAATCTCGTCTGCTGAACAAAGAGTCTCCAAGCCGATCCTGGTATCGAGCGCAACATTATTTATTGTTTTTCCTCCTTTATATGTTCTGTGGTTTTATCGCACTATGCATTATGCATTAGTGGAAGAAACACAGGACGCAAATACGAATTGACGTCGAAATAAGAATAATAAAAAGATAGACATATAAGATAGTTTCCTACACATATTGAATGGGATTGTAAGTTATGACATCAAATAGCTAACTCAAGCTCTCAAAATTAATTACATCAATCAAGTATCGATGATGTTGTTACTTTGGAATACTTTTGACTGCGAAAACACGAAATTCAACTAGGATGCTGATGCAATATTGGGATTAATTTTTGCTTAAAACATAATGGGTGAAACTGGACATTATGTTCAACACTTTGGCCTAATTTATACATTTTTATGTATGTTACATCAAGATTTTACAGCAGCAAGAGATTGTTTCTTAAAAGAACCAGACCTGCATTAAATGTATTTAATTTTATACTGTACCAAGTAACTGTTTACAGAAAATAAGAATGTAAACTTCAACTGACCTGCACTTCTTTATTAATATCACTATAACTACTGATGTTGTAGCATATCTCTGGGCTGTAGCCATGGTTCACCGTGCAAGCTTGGAACACATAAAATGTTTGCTCTATCACATTTGTGATCATATATGCCATCATGTAGAGGAACATTGGGGGTTCTACTGTTACATATTTGTACCATGGCTTCCTCCTGTCCACCTGTAAATAAACAACATTAGTATGAAATGTAAAATTGAATTTTAATTTAAAGATCAATTTTTTTATACTATAGTGCTAGAACATTGTAGCATATTCATAAAGGCGAAAATCTATACTATATATTATTCCTGTGGCACCTTTTCAAACAGCAAAAAGTTTAATGCCATATTTTCAGCTGTATGATTTAATATTCCCGTGTATCAGTATGACAAACTGTATTTTGTGTGATGTTTATAATTAACAAACAGTAAGATTAAAATCATTTTATCTCAAGTGCTGTGATTAAATAAACAATCAAATGTTATCTTTATTGCAGTAAATACAAACGAAACTTGCTGCACAAGGACATACATAAACTTACCGAGACCACAAAAAAATCATTTATTATGATCAAGATGAAATATTTGATTAAAAAAATTTTTAATATAAACTTTATAAATTAGTAATAGTATGACAGTAACAATTTTATTGCATGATAGACAAAAACAATTTTACGACAAATAAATCTTTGACAGCCTTGATACTGACCAATTATTTACCCGAAAGGTCAAGATATGGAGATAAGTTAACAACAAATGTTAGTCTCATATGGCACACTCAAGTAAGATTTTATTTACTCATGATTGCATCAAAGAGGTCTTATCACAAAAAAAACGGCGTGCAAATACGGATAAATAGTGCACTGTGCATGTTCACGTGTATTGGTTATGTTTACCATTCTAATTAGCATAAGTAAAAATGTACATAATGTGAATTATAATTACATGCAGTCGCTGAAGCTTGCAAATAAATTTTAGCCCATAAAAATTTCATAACACATAAAAAAGCGAAAGTCGTGTAACTATTACGAAACTAAAGCAGATTTTTTTATTTTCTAAAACGTTTTCTATTCGCAAGCGTTTTATGGTTACATAACTTAGATGCTTCCTGTATATTCTATTACGTAATAGAACAGTTACATTTAGAACACTTGCTAGCTAAATACTATAATTTTTTGTTTACTTACCACACACATTTCGTCGTCTTTATTTGTGGAAGACATATTTAATTACTTTAACTTATATTGGTTTTATACACTAGGGCATAAAATTGCTTGTTTTCTTTTAATTCAAATGTATTTATTACTTTTTATTTATTTTATAACATATTTCTTTCACGTCGTTCCAAACACTTGCCGGTCGCCTACACTCTATCAGCAAACATTATTTTGCCGCGCCGCCAAAACAATGTGCCAGAGAAGCAGATGCCTTCTGACAAGTTTTCGAATTTGGCAGCTGTCAGTGTCACGTGTGTAGATGTCAAGATTGCCAAGTAGCGGAAATTTTTTTTTTTCAGCGCGCAACACTGAAGACTGGGGTTTTTAAAAGTTAGAAAGTCTAGATTGTGTAAAACTATAAATACTTTCAGCAATGTTCATGGCAAATTTTTTAAAAATAAGATTTCGAAAATTAATATCCTTTATTTATAATTAACAAAAGGGACAAAGCCATAATCATTAACTTAGGTGACCATCACAGCATTATGTTGTGATACATATAAAAGTTCGATTATTAAATCAAGTTTCGAGTATTAAATACTCAATTTATTTTAATGTAACTGACGTCATTCGATTTGTTAACTCTCTGGATGGCAAATTGTCAAATTTTATCGCAATATCATTGGAAACATACTACACCTTTTAAGGGGGAAAATCATCGAATGACTGCTTCCGCCTGGGTAAGGCGGGAGGGAGTGTCCGACTCTTACTGACTAAAAACCACCCAGTTCCTTCTCCTGCACGTCGAGCCGGAACCCCGGTAACCCGTACACCTTAGGATTTATGATTTGTGTCGTGTATTAAAATTAACGCAAGTAAAACCAGAGGCTATTTACCTGTATGCACTTTAAAAAAATTAGACTGAATTTTGTGAGCCTTTGTGCAGCGTCTATAAAGAATGGAAAAAATTGAGCAACGTGAGGCCATTGCGGTCAGCACATAGTTGTTAAAAAAAATTAACTCCAATACAGATTTACGAAGAATGTCACTAGCATTGGGGGAATCTGCTCCGTCGTTTGCGACTTTAAAAAAGTGGGTTGCGGAATTTATACGTGGACGAGAGAGTATTGAAGACGATCCTCGCTATAGCCGGCCTATGACGTCTACAACTGAAGAAAACATCGGGAAAATCTGTGATTTGATTTCATCTCGTTTGAACGAACACAAAACATCATAGTCAATGAACTTGGATTTTTTAATATTTCTGCGCGGTGGGTACCTAGATTGCTTTTAGTCGAACAAAAACGAATAACTAAGCCTCACGATTTCTCGCGACTGTTTGGAAATGTTTGAGGCTGATCCACAAAAATTTTTAACCAGATTTGTAACAATGGATGAAATTGGGTACACCACTACACCCCAGAGTCAAAACAGCAATTCAAGCAGTGGAAAAAACCTGATGAACTGACTCCAAAAAAACCAAAACAGTTTAGTCAAGTGGCAAGGTGATGGCGTCAATTTTTTGGGATGCTAAGGGTGTCATCATGGTGGACTACCTTGCAAAAGGTGAAACTATAACCTCGACTTATTACTTACGTCACTTGCGTGAAACATTTAAAGAAAAAAAGCGAGGATTACTCAGCAAGAAAGTGCTGTTCTATCAGGATAATGCTCGCGTTAACACGTCTGTTGAATTTATGGCTGAAATTCGTGGTTGTGGCTTTGAATTTCTGCCCTTCTTCCCATCCCGCCTATTCCCCTGATTTAACACTTTCAGACTTTCATTTATTCCCAAACCTAAAAAAACATATTGGTGGTCAAAAATGTTCATCAAACAAGGAGGTCGAAGCTGTGGTGAGTGACTTTTTTGAAGGCCTTGAAGGAACTTTTTTTATGACCGGCATACAGGCGTTGGAAACCAGATGGAAGAAGTTCATAGAGTTAAGTGGAGATAGCATGGAAAAATAAAATTACTTTTGTTTATATTTTATATTGTTTTCTTGCTGAGGCCGCGAACTTTTCAATCCACGTATGTATTATTACAATAATAGATATATTACTTTACTAAACAAAGTGAAGGAATATTTCACAAAGTGAAGGAGTATTAATTATATATTCCTCAAACAGGCCTGTGTTACAACTTTACAAGCCCATAGGGATTCATCCCAAATGGGATTCGTCCCATTTTGTTTATGAACGTTGTAATCTGCCTAATCTGCCGCGACACCTTACGGTTCGCGAACCGCTTAACAATTATTGGTTTTGTCACCTCTAATAGATATCTAAATTTAGCAAGATATTATCTTGTGTAGTACGGTATCAGGATGAGATGAAAATTAATGAGAAGTGAGAACCTATCGCCAAAAGGAAAATCCCAAATACTCTGTACTACCCGCAACCATAAAAGAGGCTTATTTGAAAACATGGCCCAAGAATCGAACTGGAAGTTCTTGCTGTAAACTCATACACGTAATTGCTCGACATTGTGGCAGAGGTATTGATACGAACACTACACGACAAGTGGAAACCAGATGAAAATAAAAATGAAGATGAAGACAGTGTGACGAGAGTAAATATAATACTCTCTTGTCACACTAATGTGTGTACCTGTAAGTACTACTAATAATATGTACTCACAGGTACACACTTTATCACTTTGTTTTGTTCTAAAGTTTGATACAACCGCCTTTCTGTCTTGCAAGCAGTAAGAGAGTTTATAAGAAAAACTCTATCAACTGTCAAGGTCAAGCAGATCCATAGAGTATAGTAATACTAAAAAGAAAAGCAGATCTATGACAAAAATCTACAATGTATTGACTTACCTATTTCGTTATTTATTTCGAATTGTTTATTATTATGGTACATAACGGAGTAACTGGTGCTTGGTGCACTCTTCTGTATAGTGATGTGATTCATAGGTTCTCGAGTCTAAAGTGAAACAGTTCTCGAAGTTATTATGGTAGAAAGTGTACTGAACAAGTATTGCCTGGTATCAAAAGTATGCTGCTTCTGTGTCTCACTAAGGAATGGATGTATACTGATAGCCTTGGCAGGATTTATACCATGTTTATACCTGTTCATGGTGTACGCCTCAGGGGATTCGACGTTGCTAAACAATGGAGTGAATGAAGTGGTTACTGAGATCATTCTGCATATTTACGCTATACTGGGATTAGTTTTGTGTGGAGTGAACATCATACTCTTTGTTGGCGCAATAACGTTCAACGAAAAGTTGATATTAAATTACTTAAGGTTCGCCTGCGTGTACTTCGTTGTGGACTTCGCCAGTGTACTCGTTATATGCATTTCTGCAGCGTTGAGTGGTTACTTACCGTTCGCGGGAATATTTTTTCTAGTAGATGTTTGTTATTGGGCTTTAATATACTTTTATATTTTACCAATCGTGAATGGATTTAGGAAAAAAATACACACCATTGTCATATATGTGAATTAAATTATATTTATTGTTGTTATACAAATTAGTTTCATTTAGAAGATAAATAGGTGTAAATATTTACTTACCTACTTACCTACCTACACCTACCCTGAGTATTTACGATTCACGTTACAGACGTTGATACTTTCAAAACGTTTAGAGGAAATGACGTAGAGTACAAAAGCAGATAACAAAACATGCTTTGCTCATTTTAATTGGTATTTAAAAAATAAAATATTCTATTTGTGGTTGTTATTAGTAGTCCGTTGTTAGTATTGATTATGAAAAACTATGAATAGTTTAAGCAATATTCATGCCTATTTTTTTATCAATAAGTTTCTGAAAAGTAATTTTGATACACTCACACAAAAGAGGACAAAACCCTAATCATTAACTTAGGTGACTATCACGGCATTACGTTAAGTTTTCTGGATATTTTACAACCAGTTTTGCTGGCTGAAGATCGGCGCTATTCGGCTGATTTTGTAAATATTGCTAGTGAGTGTTTGATTGTTCCTCGAACAGGGCCTGTGACCCTATGTTACAACTTTACAGTCACACAGGACATGTTGTAACTTGTAACTCGTAAAACATATCCAATATGTACCTAGAATGTAATGTGCTTTAGCTTACTTTTATTCATTTCAACAGGCAGGCAAAGCAATGGGTATTTGGGTAACAGATAGTTTACAAGTAATTTAGTTGTGCTGTATTGCCTGTATTATTACGTAAGTAGTTTGTTTGGGTTTAGAGTGCACTGAACTATTTTATATTGACTACAGTACCAATTATTGTAAGATTTTAGTACCAATTAAGTATTTATTTATATATATAATTAGTATATAATTATTAAGTATTTACAATTATTTACGTTCATAGTTTACATGATTAATTGCTGGTTTCAACAACCAGTCTCAGTTTTAAATGTTTATATTAAGATCGACTTTTGATATTATAGTTCTATAAATTTTCTGTCAAAAATCAAGGTCGATCCGGAGTGTTTGAAAAGATCGGTTGTAAAAATCGAAAGTTAAAGTTACAATTCAATAATTACATACTTAAATTAACTGACTAGAATCATGAGAATGCTATCTTAAATGGACGTATAATTTGTGGTATAACTTAGTAATTACTTACCTACCTACCTTTTATCTTATATACGTTATTTACTCTTAGGATTACGATATAGCTATGTACATATTTATCTTTCTTTTTTTATGGTATGGATCACCTGTTGACCTAAGTTATCAACCCACAACACCAGAGGAGTTGCAGAAACGTTACTAGTTTGCCGGCCTTTTAAGAAGGAGTAGGTCCTCTCTTTTTCCTGACAAGCCTTACCTGAAGCACGCAACAAGTACTTAATACATTCACACGTGTGTTAGTTCATTACATTGATTTAAGTGTATGTGAAGTTTTGGTCCGTACCTCGATGATGGATGCTCAAGTTTCTTATTCTCAAGTTTCTCAAGATTATTCTTATTTGCAGACAGATGTGACTCACATTGAAGTGTACATGAGTATTCGCGATAGAACGGAGTACATGTCGTCTAAGGAAGTAGTGGTAGGGAATAGTAAGTGCTCTAGTGTTTCTTTGTTCGCTGTACAACATATGCTGGGTAGCAACAGCATGACTTTCCCGAACCGCGTGGAATCTTTGGCTGCACAATGCTTCTGTAGTAACATCAAGAACTGATCTTGCAGCATCTCCATGTGAGCAGATGGATTTTCCGTAGTGTCTGTGACAATAGGCAAAAGTTAATTGTTTTCTAAGATGGGATGATGTTGACGTGAACTTATCGACTGAAACTAGTAACGTAAGTGACTGTCTGCCCCTTCAAGAAATGATAATTATGGTTAACTTATGTATGTAAGAATTCAGCCTAATTCAGTAGTAAACAAGTAGGTAACATAAATGCCACAGACTAGTGTCACATTTTATGATGATTTAATAGTGCTAATTCACATCTGTAGACTATGTATAAACACTAAACGCACGAACGACATCTGATAACAATGCTAAATGATGAAGGTGATAAATTACTCACCTGTGCGAAACAACAAGGTGGATTTCAACCAGTCATATTCGGATCTATCTAGCCTGCACTGAGATAATCTTTTCAACAGATAAGTTAACTTTTTGCGATCCTCCTTGATCTGAGGCCGCTTTAGTGCAATGGTAGAGACATCGTAATCTGAAAATTTAACGTTTAAATGTATTTTTGTACAAAAGTACCTACCAGATATAAAATAATAATTATGTTTATTAATACATTACCTTCTTCGAAGTAAAATGAATATTCTGCTGCTGTAAGAATAAACAGTTCCTTCCATTTACTACGTAATAGACTTATTTGCTCGGCGGGTTTCATATGAACGAATGTGCCAACCCCGTGTAGCCATTTTATCGAAGTTACTAAGATCTTCGCAGCCGGGGCGTAGACCTCTTCGTCAAGTTTCCAAGTATCAAAACAATACTTTTTTAATTTTGTTGTCATCTCTGAGATGCCATCCAAACTTGGCTTGTTGCTGTCTACAACGTGCATTGCTTTGTGACGGTCATTCAGGTAATCGACGAATGTATACGGTTTGTAGTCTACACCTTGAGGATGTTTTTCTGATATTTTTGATACTATGTGCACTGGTGGTTCAAAGTTTGTAGGAGAATGTAGCGACGTTTTTCTCGTATCTATGAACAAATAATATTATAGCATATTTGATTAATCTAGATAAAAGGAATTCAGTTTGTTGTCTTTCCAGTCCGGGAGTGAAACAGAAATCAATAGATATAACTTTGCTATCGCTTAGGTAAATAGCGCAAGGCAATTCAGTGGATAGTCGCAGCGCAAGCACAGCATCTAAGTTACATATCAATTTGCGCTAACAATGAAAATAACTCACCTTCTTTCACAATCGTTTCCACTTGGCAATCAGATTTGCAAGCTTCCTCAGAACTAGATACTTCATCTTCTTTAATTTTTTCAGAGAGTTGTGAATCTGGTTGTTCTGTAGAATTAAAATGTAATTTTACCACATTTTAGTAACTCTACTGCATGTTACTGAATCGTTCTACTTACTTTCCAAAGTATTTGTCGAAACAGATGATGTTACGACTGATGGATATAAAATATTAGACGGGATATAAGCGGGGTGTGGAACTGGATAATGAAGTGACGCTGAAAACAATGGAATCTTAAATGGATTGAGTGGACTGAGTGCACTGACATGGGTGCTAAGAAGTGGGCTTATTTGAGGAGCATCGGCCGACATTGTATCCGGAAGTCTCGATGGGGGGAAGTCTTGAAACGAAGATCTGTCCAGAAAGGAATTGTGTACGGTAGCGTCGGGGAGGGCGGACACTAGGCCATTATATGCGTGGAGAGGCGGGAAAGTGGACAGAGTCAGAGGGGTCGGACTTGGAATGAAAGGTTGCTGTCGCGTGAAGTTGTACCCGAGCTTCTGTAGCGCCATATGGTGTTGGGCGGCTACCGACGGACGAGGAGCGCGCTCGTGTTGTACCGCTGCAAACACGAGAATATCCATTTCATATTTACATAAAATACAAAGATGTAATATTCATTTTAGATTTTTTACTGACCATTAGATTTTTCATAACTATTTATAATGTAAAAATAGCTTTTTATTGAAGTTAATTTTACTAATGAAATGACACGTTATCTATAAATCCTACTGTTCGATTCATGGCTGTTTGCAATGAAAGACTAGAAGTTTACTTTACTTGCGATAAATTTTTGCTTTTTTCTGTACTTTTATATTTACACATCAAAGAAATTGTTTAAATTTATCTAGGTAATTATATCAAAATTGAAATGTCTATCTCAACTTTGTCTCAACTTAATTAGAATCACAACTAAGTAACAAATATTTACAATCCAAAAGCATACTAAATAACTGTTTTATAAGTGTCGTTGAGCAAACTTAGTTATCATAATGCATAAATATCGGAAATCTGATGGCAAGAATAATAAGTGTTGAGCAAACAACATTGTTATAGGGGTGAGAGTGAAGACGGCACGGTCGCTGACGGCCGCGGTCGTCACCACTCGCTAGCAATCAGTGGTGGCGCGGCTTGCACTCCATTCCGTATGTAAATAAATATCTGTGTGAACCGCGGCTGCTGTTGACAACTTGGCATCATGATACATTGTTTACTTTTCGAAGCAATCTCGTTTACGGAACATTAAATGCGTCTCGCTCTTCTTTATTATATCTATGGTCTCGTTCCTTCGAAAATATAATCGTGATTTTGAATATGTTCGCCGATAGGAATGGGTAGATAACGTTTTGGTTTAATATTTTATTCGTCACTCTGATCACTAAAACTTATGTTGACCGGAAGGGAAGAAAACCTTATCTATAGGTAATGAAGTATAAATTCGCCATTATAATATTAAATTACTAGAATTTACTAGATTACTCGTGTGTTCTTCGCGTGCCTCACTAACGCAATACGGATGTCACAGCCGTCGGCGGTGGCCGCGCGCCGGCAGGGTCGCATAATGCTTCCATGAAAACGAATGCTTCCCACGAAACTAAGTATTCTATAGAAATATGAAGTTCACAGAGTACTTAGTTCAGTAAAAGATACGTAAAGGTACTGTATTCAAATATTTTATTCTCATTTTCCCGAAAGAGAAAAATATAGGCACGTCTTCATGCTGACCGCAAATCGTGTAGGAAAACAAAGTGCAAATATTATATCTCGCAAAGTGAGGTGAGTAGACGAGAGCTAGGTACATTATAACATAATAAGGTGTCATTACGACTTTCATTGTACGATTCTGTTGATATTTGACTTGGTGAGAGCGTGAACCTGTATACTGACATGAAAGGGAAGATGAAAGCTCGGAGCTCCCAGCCCCTGCGTTTTTTCTCACTCACCACTTACCAACACTTGTCTACCGCAAATACTTGAAATGTTTCCTAATGGAAAAGACATGCTGCGAAGGAGCCACCCTGGATAAATACTTTATTGAGACAAGTGCTCGACCGTGTTCACTATTGATTACCATTGAATATCGCTACATCTCTGCTATTTCCTTACAAATAAAATGTTCTGATTTGCGATGAATTGAAGCAAGAATAAAAGTAATTAGTACCTACTTAGGGGTTGAACATCACCTTAGTCAAAGTAGTGTCATGGTAAGTACAACACGTACAGATATTTTAATGTGTAGGTAGCTAAGATCTATTCATTATCTTTTTTTTTAAACTTTGTCTCATATTAGTATTTTCTTCTGTGTCGTGGGCGCGTTTACAAACAAATACACAGAAACGTCACATACAGATCCGAATCGAATGGGTACAGCTCTGGTTACGTTTACATCTATGGCAATGACTACTGCTAGAGTTACGGCTACGGATGCGCCTACGGTTACGCCTATGATTACGCCTACGGTTAAGGTCACAGCTATGGCTACGGCTATGCCTTGTACTACGGCTACGCCAACTGCTACGGTTACAGCTACGACTATGACGTGACTACGACTATGGCTCTAGCTACGATTACGTCTACGCCTACGGCTACAGCTACGCCTCCAGCTACGGCGACTGGCTATTCCTACTACGTAATGTATGTGCGTTTCCCGCATTGTTTGTGTGATTTATAAATTCTGCTTCCGATCTCGGTCATCAATTGTTTACCTCACCAACGAGTCACCAAAATGACATAGAAAAGGTCTTAGCTATTGTAACGTTTCAAACAATCCCCAGTTAACATACATTAAAAATCACTTACCATCTTTCTTCATATTGACGCGCAGGCATTTGGAAAATCGACACGCCTGGCATTGGTTACGCCTTGTCACATCCACCACACACCGTCCATTTTCTTTACACACGTAGTCCAAATTACTGGGTATAAAACAAATGATACGTTACACTATAAACTGTCGTGAACGGCCAGTCCATTATGCAAGAACTATTATTTCATGTAAAAATTCCACTTTAACGCTTTGTTTCTAGCAAATAGGTTTTGAGTATTGATTGTATTAATAGTTTAGTACCTACTATAAAAGGTATCTGACCATTTATACGGCGTTGCATATTGATTTGTTACTTTATTTTTATTTACATAGGGTAAGTTAGCAAAACAAAGGTAAGAAACAAATTGATGACTCGATAAATATCTATCGTTTCTTGGTGTCTTACCCAAATGGCGATTAAAAAATAACTTGAGAACTTCTTAACTTGTTGAGCTTAAATTAAATAAATTAAATTATTTATAGTACTTATACGTTTCGTAAGATATACTAAATTAATTATTATGGTTTTCGGCTTACTCACGTTATTATTTGACGAGGAACTCGACTAGTTTCAAGCCATGCTAGAGGCTCATATTCGTCATCAAATAATTACGTGAGTAAGCCGAAAAACATAGTAATTAAGTTAAAATGATTATCCGTATTACACATGGTACCAAGCACAATAGTACGATAATATCACCTGAATCTATCCCGTTTAAATAATACTCGAGTATGAAATGAAACGAAATGAATTAATTTATGTAAATAGGCTATAAAACCACTTTTACACCATTCCACGTCAACATTTTTCATTTCTTCTTAGAGTGGTCAACCGAAACAAACTTAGAGAACCGTCTTTTTGAAAGTAACAAACATACAAAAATATGTGTGTGAACCGTGCGAGTTCTTTCTTTAGTGGTCTTTTGAGGAACGGACCACAACAGTCTGAGCGGATCCGTCCTGACGGCACGCAAATGTCGGTTCACAATGATCTCAACTAACAGGTGTTGCCGACTGATCCGACGTACAATACCAACCAAAAAAACATTTGTGTGGGTCGCATAAATACTCCAATTGTTAGAACGTAAAGTTCCTGCAGGCGAGGCAGTGTTCACACAAACAATTGTATAAGAAAAATAATGTTATTGAAATTCGACCAAAATAACTTTATGAACTTTTTAATTTGGCAGTCACACTTGAGGTTCCTTAACGACCAACGTACCTCATATATAAATAGACAACGTATAGATGTTATTAAAAATAATCGGAAGGTAGTAATTATAATTACCGTCTAATACTCCTTTTGAAGAACCCCCTGCAACCATCACATGACGCGACGCCGTAGTGTTTCCCAGAAGCTTTGTCACCACAAACGCGACACAATGTCTCCGGCTTGGTCTCCATACTCCTGAGTAACTAAATATAAATAATATAAGTATATCCTCCCTAATAACCTTTGGTCAGAAAGTAGGAAGACAGAAGATCAGTAGGATATGTACAAAATGATTTGGGAGCTATTCTATTGACAATTTCAAAGATCTCTGATAAGTTCGATTATAATCAGAGACTTTGTGCTAGAAAATCAAATAGAGCACCTCTAGTAGAGGGAGCAAATTGAAGATTTTATTTGGCGGAAAAATACAATAAAACATCAGATTGTTTTTAAATATGGTCGGGGGAATAACATAATATGGACACATAATCGTCTTTCATTCTTTATTAATTAATTATCTATCCATAGCCATTGTATTTATGTTAATTAGGTAACTGGTAGATAGTAATGTGTATCTACCTTATTCTTATATCAATAGCTTCGACTGGTCTTTTCCTAAACCGATTGAGGTTGGCACTAAGTCAGAGACCAGAATCCTTTTTTTTTTTTTTTTTTTTTTTTTATGGGGGGAAATCCTCATGGACTGCCTCCGCCTGGGGAAAGGCGGAGGGGTGTGCCGGACTCTTACCGGCTAAAACCACCCCAGTGTCTCCTCACACGTGCGTGCGGGGCCACGGGAGTCCAAATTCATCCGCAGCCCCGCATTACAGTGCCGGCCCGTATGTCAGGGCCCCGTCACCTGCACGGAGCAGTGCACCACGTCCATCGCCTCAAAGGCGCACGCCGACACCCGCGCGCGCCTTCGACTCGGGTCTTTGAAGTCGGGGGCGAGGACTTCCCCAAGTCCTTCGCCCCTGGACCCATTTATGGGGGCCGGAAGAGGGCGTTGTCGGCCCTTCTCCTACGCCCGGTGCGCCTTCTGCGGTTGGGAAAGGAAGTCAGTAAGATCTCCCTCTCCCGTTCCGCAGTTTCCTTCTGCGACATCACATCCTCGCAGAAAGACACCACCGCGTCCCACGACTCTGCGCTGTCCACCATCTTCCGCACTACGGCCAGCAGCGACAGATCGCTTCCTACTTCATTTCTGAGGACACGGCGCTGCTCCTCCCAAGCTACACACTCGGCGAGCGTGTGTTGCGCCGTGTCCTCCCCGCAATGGACGCAGTGGTGGCACCGGGCGTCCGGCTCCCTCTCTATGCGGCACAGGTACTTGCCGAAGCAGCCGTGCCCCGACAGCACCTGCGTCACTCTAAACGACAGGGAGCCGTGCTTCCTCCCAAGCCAGTCGTCGAGTACTGGCCGGATCGCCTCGACGGTAGCGAGGCCGGCGGTGGGGCGCAAAAGCCTTTGCCGCCATTCCGCCACCAAGACCTGACGGAGCTCCTCTCGGCGCCGCTCGATTTGGCGCTGCACCGGCCTCGAGCCCCGTGTCCGCTCTTCCTCGCGCCATCGGTATAGTGACGCGAGTACTTTCGCCTCTAGGTCCCAGGGCGGGGATCCGGCCAGGACGCAAGCCGCCTCGTAGGAAATCGTGCGATACCCGCGGACGACTCTGACAGCCATCACCCTCTGCGGTTTTTTCAGAATAGCGAGAGTGTTGGCCGTCAAGTCTAATGCCCACACAGGGGCCCCGTACAGGGCCATGGATCGCACGATTCCCACATACAGCCGCCTACAGGCGGCGCTCGGGCCCCCCAAGTTGGGAAGCAACGTTGAAAGCGCGCCCGTCGCACCCATCAGTTTGGGCGCCAGCCGCCGGAAATGGGGTCCGAATTCCCATCGGCTGTCGAGCACCAATCCCAGATATTTCATGGTGGACTCGACAGCTATGCGAGCCCCGCTGACCACGATTTCCGATCCCGGCGCTGGTGCACGTCGGGGGCCGTGGAACACCATGGCCTCCGATTTGTTCAGGGCCACCTCCAGGCCCAGGCGCCGGATGCGGTTCACAACCTGTGACACCGCAGCCGTGGCTATCAACGTCGCCTCCCTATGCGAGCTCCCCCGGGCGGTTACGAGCGTGTCGTCCGCATAACACGTCAAGTCAGCGCCCAAAGGGAGCTCACCTCTCAGCACCCAGTCGTACCCAATGTTCCACAGGAGTGGCCCTAAGACCGATCCCTGTGGAACACCGCAAGACATGAGGTGCCGACCGACACCGTCACGTCCCCGATAGGTGACACACCTGCCCTCCAAAAAAGCCCCAACTATACGGCGGAGGTAGAGAGGCACGCGATGGTATTTTAGTGCCTCTCGAATACAACTCCAGGGTAGGGTATTGAATGCATTGGAGATGTCCAAAGACACCGCCAGTACCACCCCACCCTGGGACACCGTCTCTTCCACCAGGGTCCTCACGCGCATGATGGCGTCTATGGTGGAGCGCCCCTCACGGAAACCAAATTGGTTGTCGTCCAGGTTCGGTCCTTCTCTGCACAAGTGGCTCACGAGGCGATTTGCGATAATACGCTCGAAAAGTTTGCCCGCCTCGTCGAGCAGCACTATGGGCCGATACGCGGATGGCGAGTCCGCAGGGCGCCCCTCCTTCCTGAGCAGGACCAGTTTTCCCTCCTTCCACACACTGGGGAACTGACCTCGCTCGAGACATGCCGTGAGAAGCCCTCTCAGCTGGGGCTCTAGAACCTTCATAGCCAGGACGAGAGCCCGACCAGGAAACGCGTCGGGTCCGGGCGCTGTGTTCTTAGCCCGGAGTCGCAACACGGCTGCTCTCGTCTCTGCTTCTGTCACCTCGGGGACGTCGGTGGTCTCTTCTTCGGGACAGTCTGTAGCAGACGGCGAAGCCATCACCGGGGGAACGTGCTCTGCTCGCTCTGGGAAGAGAGCTGATACAACTGCCTCTAGCAACTGGGTTGCATACTCTGGGCTAGTGGAGGCGCCCAGGGACGCAACTTGCCCCGTACCCAACGGTAGGGCCGCCCCCACGGATCCCGATCTAAGGACCCCAGCAGCTCCTCCCTAGCACGCGACTTTGAATCGGCGATGGCCAGCCGCAGAGTCTCCTTAGACGTGCGGTACACCTCGTACAGCGCATCCTCCTCGTTGGAATCCCGTCGACGTCGTCTCCGGTATCGGGTGTACCGGCGGCGAGCCGCAACGCACGTTACGCGCAACTGCGCGATCTCGTCCGTCCACCAGTACACCTGGCGCCTTGCGGACTGTTGGCGATACGAGGCATAGACGCGTCGCAGATCTGCGTCATCGCCCCGCGAAACCACAGCGCCATCGATTCGACGTCGACGGGGCCGTCTGTCGTCGACTCCCAGACCCAGGACTGGATTAAGGCAGCTTCTTCGAGTAGTTCCCTGTCGATGCGCTTGAGCGCCCAACGCGGGCCGTCGTTAATCGGGGTTGCTGGATGGCGGCCGGTAGCGGTCTGGGCAGAGACGTCGAATCGAATATACCGATGGTCCGATAGCGTCTCCACCTCTACGGCGACTCGCCAATCGCGGACTCGGCTGGCGACAGACGGACTAGCGAACGAGACGTCCACTATTGACCCGCCCCGCTGTCGCACGCACGTGTATTCCGAACCCCGATTCAGGATGACCAGTCCAGTCGTCACTGCCCACTCTTCTAACACCTCACCCCGAGGGTCAGTAACCGGAGATCCCCACGCCGATGACTTGGCGTTGAGGTCCCCGAGCACCAGGACGGGACGAGGTTGATAGCGGCCTACGACAGCGCCCAACTCGACAAGGAAACTCTCGAAGTCGGCGAGCCTCTTGTTGGGAGAAAAATACGCCCCCACTGTGACAATACCGCTCGAGACCGCAGCAACCCAACCGCGGCCACGAGACAGGTCGCTTAGAGCCTCGCCAATAATAGCCACCGAACCTTCAGTGCATCCCAGCCAGTTGTCACGGGCGGGAACGAAGTACGGTTCGGCGACCACAGCCACGTGAATCGACCACTCTGCCATGCTCTGGAGTAGGAGATCCTGAGCTCTGGCACAGTGATTGATGTTGCCCTGGAGGAAATGGAGTTGTGCCATTATTGACACTCCATTCCCTCGGCAACGGTCATGGGCCGGGTGTCGGCCGCAGAGCTACTAGCCTGCGAGGGTGGCGAGGTTTCCCCAGCAGGTTTAGAGCCCCTCTTCTTTTCTTTTTGGCCTTGTTGGCAGGCGCACCACAGGCCTCTCCACCTACTATGTGTCCCGCTGGTTTGCCCGCAGCGAGCACAAGCTGCAGTTGGGCGCCGCGGTGCACTGGGCCGCCTTGTGGCCGGTCTGACCGCAGCGATAACAAAGGTCACTTCGGTCAATCTCGGCGGTACATTTTGCCCGGACGTGCCCCTTCTCCAAACACCGGAAGCACCGCAACGCCCGAGGCTGCAGGAGTTTGACCCTCGCTGCAACCCAGCCAACCAACAATCTGCCGCTATCGGCAAGCTTCTTCGCCGAGGCTATAGGGCACCGAACCCAGACTACGCCGAGTCCGGAGGCGTCGGCGCGTATATCACCAGCTCGCACCATGTCCGGTGGGCATTCGCCGCTTCGGGCAGCGGCCGCCACCACCTCCTCAGAGGTTACGGAGTCGTCCAGGCCAGCAATCCGCACCTCTGCGGTTTTCATAGGTCTGGAGACCCGAACGTCCTCCGAGTTAAGGACCTCCCTCATCTTGGCGGCCAGAGCGTCTGCCTTTTCAGCACTGCCGGTAGTAGCACCAGCCACCTCGAACAGTCGTGCACCCGTGGCAGCCTGCCTGAGGGTGACGGACTGGAGACCAAGATCTGTTAATTTGATCTTGGCCTTGGCCTCGGCAATGACCGACTGGTACGTTACGCCACGCTCTATAGCCCCAGGCTGTAGCGTGAGAGTGACAGCCTCGGAACGCGGGGCACGTAAAGTCGGTCCTTTGCGACCGCCTTTGGCGGTCCGCCGCGCAGGCTGCGTGATCGCCTTTGGGCTTCCACCGGGAGGGCATGCAGCTGCTGCAGCCTTCTTGGCAGCTTTGCGGGCCTTCTTGCGCCCTACGACTTTTGCCCAAGTCTCACTCTTGGACCCGGCAGAAGTGGGCTGGTCGCTTGGAGGAGCTCCCTCCGTGGACTTCCCCTTTTGAGG